TGTTTGTGTGTTTGTGTGTTTGTGTGTTTGTGTGTTTGTGTATTGTGTGATTGTGTGATTGTGTGATTGTGTGATTGTGTGACTGTGCGTTTGTGCGTTTGTGCGCTTGTGCGTTTGTGCGTTTGTGTGTTTGTGCGTTTGTGTTTTTGTGCGTTTGTGCGTTTGTGCGTTTGTGCGTGTGTGCGTTTGTGCGTTTGTGTGTTGGTGTGTTGGTGTGTTGGTGTGTTGGTGTGTTGGTGTGTTGGGGTGTTGGTGTGTTGGTGTGTTTGTGTGTGTGTTTGTGCGCCTGTGTGTTTGTGTGTTTGTGTGTTTGTGTATTTGTGTGTTTGTGTGTTTGTGTGTTTGTGTGTTTGTGTGTTGGTGCGTTGGTGTGTTGGTGCGTTGGTGTGTTGGTGCGTTGGTGTGTGTTTGTGTGTTTGTGTGTTTGTGTGCTGGTGTGTTTGTGTGTTTGTGCGTTTGTGTGTTTGTGTGTTTGTGTGTTTGTGTGTGTTTGTGTGTTTGTGTGTTTGTGCGTTTGTGTGTTTGTGTGTTTGTGCGTTTGTGTGTTGGCGCGTTTGCGCGTTTCCGCGTTTGCGCTTTTGTGTGTTTGTGTGTTTGTGTGTTTGTTTGTTTGTGTGTTTGTGTGCTTGTGTGCTTGTGTGCTTGTGTGCTTGTGTGCTTGTGTGCTTGTGTGTTTGTGTGTTTGTGTGCTTGTGTGCTTGTGTGTTTGTGTGTTTGTGTGTTTGTGTGTTTGTGTGTTTGTGTGTTTGTGTGTTTGTGTGTTTGTGTGTTTGTGTGTTTGTGTGTTTGTGTGTTTGTGTGTTTGTGTGTTTGTGTGTTTGTGTGTTTGTGTGTTTGTGTGTTTGTGTGTTTGTGTGTTTGTGTTTGTGTGTTTGTGTGTTTGTGTGTTTGTGTGTTTGTGTGTGTGTTTGTGTGTGTGTTTGTGTGTTTGTGTGTGTGTGTGTGTCTGTGTGTGTGTGTGTGTGTCTGTGTGTGTCTGTGTGTGTGTGTCTGTGTCTGTGTGTGTGTCTGTGTGTGTCTGTGTGTGTCTGTGTGTGTGTGTGTTTGTGTGTGTTTGTGTGTGTTTGTGTGTTTGTGTGTTTGTGTGTTTGTGTGCTTGTGTGTTTGTGCGCTTGTGTGTTTGTGTGCTTGTGCGCTTGTGTGCTTGTGCGCTTGTGTGCTTGTGTGCTGCTTGTGCGCTTGTGCGCTTGTGTGCTTGCGCGCTTGTGCGCTTGTGCGCTTGCGTGCTTGCGTGCTTGTGTGCTTGTGCGCTTGTGCGCTTGTGTGCTTGTGTGTTTGTGTGTTTGTGTGTCCTTGTGTTTGTGTGTTTGTGTGTTTGTGTGCTTGTATGTTTGTGTGACACAATTTGTGTGTTTGTGTGTTTGTGTGGTTTGTGTGTTTGTGTGTTTGTGTGTTTTTGTGTTTGTGTTTGTGTGTTTGTGTGTTTGTGTGTTTGTGTGTTTGTGTGTTTGTGTGTTTGTGTGTTTGTGTGTTTGTGTGTTTGTGTGTTTGTTTGTGTGTGTTGCTTCAATGACCCTATGAGCTTTTGGTGCGCAACTACCTGAGGTGCTTTCGCGGAGCACAATTTTCACAAAAAGCAAGCAGCACCCACCCTCTGTGTGCCAAGTTGCGATGACCTCGTTCAAGATCGTCTCTTCCACCTGTCCTTGCAGCTGGACGTCGAGGCTGGCTTTCGTCTGCTCGAAGCGTTCCTGGCCTGCAGCGGTCGTGTACTCGACCTCCCGGAAGAAGTCGATTACAGGCATGCCTGCAGTGTGCGCTTAGGAGGCCACACCGTTTTTTGGCTTGGAAAGTAATGGGTCACACATACATCATACACCGCTGATATGTACTTTATATAATTTATATACCCATCATGAAGTTTGGCTGTGGCATCTTGGAGGAGCCAAGTTCCCCCATACGTGGCACGAGATCCCAGCTTCGGGCTGGCTGGCTCGTCAGGGCGCACTCCGCGAACTTTGCGGCGAGGGCAAAATGGATGTTGTGCAAGGATCCCTGCTCGCAGCGGAAGAGCTGTACCAGGTGAGCGTACTCCTGGAACAGGCTTTGACCACAGGTGACCTTTTGGAACAAATAGATGGGCCGGGCAAATTGAAAAACCCATCTAAGCCAGCGCCATCCATTTCTAAACCAAACTAACCTAAAAAGAGCACCAATGGAAAGGACCCATGGGCTCGATGACATGGGATGGCGTGCCACACGATGCGCTCGTTTCGTTGATTCTAGTTTTTGGTTGACTCTCTGCAAGTCCTCCGGCTCTGAATATGTGCAGATTTATGCCCAACGGCCGCTCAAGAAAACCCAAGTCACCAGCAAAACCCTCAGGGCAAGAAATATGCAAAAGTCAAAATCCGGGTGACTTTTGTCAGCTTTTGGCCAGCAATCTTGGCACTTTTGGACGGCCGAGCTAACCCTCTTGCTTAAGTCATGCGGGAGTGTCGTCTTTAACGAACCCAAAAAATGGGTAGTTGTCCTTTCGGTTCGCGTTAGGGCTTTCCCGGCAAGGACCGCAGGGGCACGGTGGTTGAAAAATAATTTTGGCGTCCTTTCCAAACCACCCAACAAAAAGTACCGAGCCTGCAAACCGCAAAAGGAACCCAATTTCAGGAATCCCCTATTTTGAAAACACCCAGGCCCATACCCCCCCCCAGAAACGCAAGCCAGAAAAACCATGAATTCGGGTCCAATCCACTCTCCCAAGATGGCAACCAACCTCACCCATCTCTCATAAGAAACCGGCCGTGCTTCTAGGGTACTTCTACCGGGCCCGGATTTCCCCAAATCAATTGATTGGTGGTTGAAACAATCGCCACTTCTGATTCCGGGGTCACTATTCTGACTGTTTTTTCCCGAAAGCATTGCGAAGGGTTCTTCCGGTAAAATCGCCAGCCTTATCGCGCAGCCAAACTCACACGAGCCAACTTACACGAGCCAACTTGCACAGCCAACTTACACGAGCCAACTTGCACGAGCCAAATTGCTCGAGCCAACTTGCACGAGCCAACTTGCACGAGCCAACTTGCACAGCCAACTTGCCCGAGCCAACTTGCATGAGTCAACTGGCACGAGCCAACTTGCACGAGCCAACTTGCATGAGTCAACTTGCACGAGCCAACTTGCACGAGCCAACTTGCACGAGAACAACTTGTACGAGATATCACACAGCCAAACTTGCACGAGACATTCGGACACGAAAGTAATTAATTAGTCTCTTAAGGCGCGGTGGGACCGAACCCACCCTGCGAAAATGACACCCTCTGCGGGGATTGGCGCGGTCGATGTCCAAAAACTGCAGACTTGTTACGATTTCTCAGCTGCGCGCGCGGGGATTGGCGTGGTCGATGTCCTATAAAACTGAGGACTTTTTACGATTTCTGAGCTGCGCGCGCGGGATGGGCGCGGTCGATGTCCTATAAAACTGAGGACGATTTCTGAGCTGCGCGCGCGACCCTGCGCGGATTGGCGTGGTCGATGTCCAAAAACTGCGGACTTTTTACGATTTCTGAGCTGCGCGCGCGACCTGCGGGGATTGGTGTGGTCGATGTCCAACAACTGAGGACTTTTTACGATTTCTGAGGTGCCCGCGCGACCCTCTGCGGGGATCGTGCGTGTCAAAGCACTCTCGCTGTGGCCCCGCGCGAGTTCGTCTCAGTCTCGGCGAACCCTCTGCGGAGATCGTGCGTGTCGAAGCGCTCTCGCTGCGGCCCCGTGCGATTTTCCTGCTCACGAAACGGCCTTTGGAAGCTGCCTCGTGGTTTGCGCGCCTGCTTTCGCAATCCCGCGGTCGCGGGTTCGATTCCCCCCTGGTGCGCGGCAGCTCCGGCTCAAGAGCTCGCTCGCTCACTCACTGACACGCTCACTCACGCTCACTCACGCTCACTCACGCTCACTCACGCTCACTCACGCTCACTCACGCTCACTCACGCTCACTCACGCTCACTCACGCTCACTCACGCTCACTCACGCTCACTCACGCTCACTCGCGCTCACTCACGCTCACTCACACTCACTCACGCTCACTCACGCTGACTCACGCTCACTCACGCTCACTCACGCTCACTCACGCTCACTCACGCTCAATCACACTCACTCACGCTCACTCACGCTCACTCACGCTCACTCACACTCACTCACGCTCACTCACGCTCACTCATGCTCAGTCACGCTCACTCACACTCACGCACGCTCACTCACGCTCACTCACACTCACGCACACTCACTCACGCTCACTCACGCTCACTCACGCTCACTCACGCTCACTCACACTCACTCACGCTCACTCACGCTCACTCACGCTCACTCACACTCACTCACACTCACTCACGCTCACTCACACTCACTCACGCTCACTCACACTCACTCACACTCACTCACGCTCACTCACACTCTCTCACGCTCACTCACGCTCACTCACGCTCACTCACGCTCACTCACACTCACTCACACTCACTCACGCTCACTCACGCTCACTCACGCTCACTCACGCTCACTCACACTCACTCACGCTCACTCACGCTCAATCACACTCACTCACGCTGACTCACGCTCACTCACGCTCACTCACGCTCACTCACGCTCACTCACGCTCAATCACACTCACTCACGCTCACTCACGCTCAATCACACTCACTCACACTCACTCATGCTCACTCACGCTCACTCACGCTCACTCACGCAAACTCATACTCACTCACGCTCACTCACGCTCACTCACGCTCACTGACTCACACTCACTCACACTCACTCACGCTCACTCACGCTCACTCACGCTCACTCACGCTCACTCACGCTCACTCACGCTCACTCACGCTCACTCACGCTCAATCACACTCACTCACGCTCACTCACGCTCACTCACGCTCACTCACACTCATCTCCGCTTCACTCACGCTCACTCATGCTCACTCTCGCTACTACACTCCACACGCTCACTTCCGCTACTCACACTCACTCACACTCACTCACGCTCACTCACGCTCACTCCGCTCACTCACGTCACTCACACTCACCCGCTCACTCACGCTCACTCACGCTCACTCACGCTCACTCTACGCTCACTCACACTCACTCAACTCACTCACGCACACTCACGCTCACTCACACTCACTCACGCGCACTCACGCTCATCGACGCTCACTCACGCTTCACTCACGCTCACTCACGCTCACTCACACTCTCTCACGCTCACTCACGCTCACTCACGCTCACTCACGCTCACTCACACTCACTCACACTCACTCACGCTCACTCACGCTCACTCACACTCACTCACGCTCACTCACACTCACTCACACTCACTCACACTCACTCACGCTCACTCACACTCACTCACACTCACTCACGCTCACTCACGCTCACTCACGCTCACTCACCCTCACGCGCATTCTCTCACACTCACTCAGGCTCAATCGCTCTAACTCGCTCTCACTCGCTCTCGCAGTCTCTCAGTCTGTCACTCTCTCACTCTCACTCAACTCACTCACACTCACTCACACTCGCTCACACTCACTCTCGCTCACACTCACTCTCGCTCTCTCTCACTCTCACCTTCACTCATTCTCACTCACCCTCACTTTCTCTCTCTCTCTATCTCTCTTTCTCTCTTTCTCTGTTTCTCTCTTTCTCTCTTCTCTCTTCTCTCTTTCTCTCTTTCTCTCTTTCTCTCTTTCTCTCTTTCTCTCTTTCTCTCTTTCTCTCTTTCTCTCTTTCTCTCTCTCTCTCTCTCACTCTCTGTCACTCGCTCTCAGTCGCCCTCACTCGTCTCACTTGCTCTCACTCTCTCTCTCTCACTCACGCTCTCTCACTCTCCCTCACTCTCACTCTCCCGTACTCTCTCTCTCTCTCTCTCTCTCACACTCACTCACACTCACTCACACTCACTCACACTCACACACACACACACACACACTCACACTCACTCACACTCACTCACACTCGCTCACACTCACTTCACTCTTACTCACTCTCACTCACTCTCACTCTCTCTCACTCTCACTTTCACAAACTCTGACTCAGTCTCACTCACTCACTCACTCTCACTCACCCTCACTCACTCTCTCTCTCTCTCTCTCTCACTCGCTCTCAGTCGCTTTCAGTCGCTCTCACTCGCTCTCACTCTCTCTCCCTCTCTCTCTCTCTCTCTCTCTGTCTTACACTCTCTCACTCTCCCTCACTCTCACTCTCCCGCGCCCTCTCTCTCTCTCTCTCTCTCTTTTTTGTGTCTCTCTCTCTCTCACTCTCTCTCTCTCTCTCTCTCACTCTCTCTCTCTCTCTCTCACTCACTCACTCACTCACTCACTCACTCACTCACTCACTCACTCACTCACTCACTCACTCACTCACTCACTCACTCACTCACTCACTCACTCACTCACTCACTCACTCACTCACTCACTCACTCACTCACTCACTCACTCACTCACTCACTCGTCCACTCACTCACTCACTCACTCGCTCACTCACTCTCTCTCTCTCTCTTTCTGTCTGTCTCTCTCTCTCTCTCTCTCTCCCTCTCTCACTCTCTCACTCTCGCTCCCTCTCTGTCACTCGCTCCCACTCGCTCTCACTGACACTCACTCACTCACTCTCACTCACACTCTCACTCACTCTCACTCACTCTCACCCACTCTCACTCACTCTCATTCACTCTCACTCACTCGCTCACACTCACTCTCACTCTCGCTCTCGTCTCTCTCTCTCTCACACACTCACTCTCACTCACTCTCACTTACTCTCACTCACTCTCACTCACTCGCACTCACTCTCACTCTCACTCACTCTGACTCACTCTCAGTCACTCTCACTCATTCTCACTCTCTCCGACTCACTCTGATGGACACTTCTGAGCGACACTTCTGAGCAACACCACTGCTCGACACTTTTGAGCAACATTTCTGATCGAAGCGACACTTGCGCGCATCGACACTTCTGATCGACACATCGGAGCGACACTTCTGAGAGACTTCTGAGCAACATGTCTAATAGACACTTCTGACCGACACTTCTGATCAACACTTCTGATCGACACTTCTGACCGACCTTACCCCACTTAATAACGGGAACCCGTCGCTACAAGTTCGGGAAAAATCTGCAGCTGCCGTTTGCCATTGAAATGGGACGCAGACACACATGCATGAAACCAACGCTCACTTTCCATTATGCTTTCGGGCCACCCGTGGTTCTAGTTTTCTTTCTGCGGGTCAAAGTCAAAAACTGGTTGGTGGTTTTCCTTCACCACTGAACGGGGTCACTTTGACAGTGGTCAAATGGGGTCCAGAGATTCTATGTGTGTGTGTGTTTAAAAAAGAAGTTTTGAAGTAGCCTATCCAGGCCATGAGCGTCGATCCTGTCCTGGTTGGCTTCCTTCAAGGGACGCACGGACTGCGTCTGGTCCTCCTCCATGCGCCGCAGCCCGGGGTCCTCCGCCGGCACCAGGCGCAGGCGCCGCACCGCCTCGGCCACCTGCCGCGCGGCGACCGCGTACTGCAGCAGCGCCAAGGCCTGGAGAAGGCGAAATGGATCCAAGGATTCCGCGGCGCAACGGCTCCTTGCGGATGGAACCGGTGAGCTCGGCGCTCGCGAGGTCGGCGTAGGCCGGGAAGGAGGTGATCTTCCCGATCTCGTCCTCCAAGCTCACCTGAGAGCTTGGGCGCCGAACCTTCCTTAACATGGCAGACAGTCCACGTCAAGAACTGCTTGATCTTTGGTGGGGCTGTAGAAACCGGCCCGGTCACATGGCTGAAATGGCTGAAACACGTTTCAAGAAGGGCGTGCGGCTTGCCCAACCCTTGGCAAGAAGCGGCCTGGCCCCCACTCGCCTGGCGGGAGGCATCGATGAAGATCATGGCATCCTGCATCCTCGGAGACGGCTGTGACACCCTCAACATGGAACCCACGAGAGCCAGCGGCTCCCTTTCGGACAGGTTCCATGTGGATGGTTGGGAAAAAATAAGAAAATATGTTTCCATTGATCACTTACCTTCCAAGGGCGTGGGTGGCAACCCAAAAGCCATACTCTATGCGTCCTGATGTTGTTCCGGAGGAGTTCTTTGAGCAAACGGTCCGTCTCCGCCAGCCAGTTGGCAGCATCCGCCATGCTTCGGCCTCTGGTCTTGCCCGCCTGGGCCATGAGGGCCTCAGGGATGCACTTCCAACGGAGATCCGTTGGTGGCTAAAGTTGAGTTGCTTTTTTGGGCAGGGCTGCGGAAAGGATACATTGAAACCAACAAAAAGCTGCTTTAAAAGTCCTTGAAATCAGCTGGAGGTGATGTTTTGACTGATTGACTGGCCTCCTTGCCATCCATGCGCACCCTACTTTAACCCAAGGAAGCCATGTAGAACCACCAAATCAAAATGGCTACAGGCTTTGGGCGCGCCCTATTTCGACAAGGAAAACCCAAGAGGTTAATTTTCCCACGAAGATAGATCCTCCCTGCCAAAGGGGTCCCCAAACTGGATTTCGGTGCCTCTCTTAAGTTTCCTTAAAACCAAGCAAGGGGTACCAAACCGGGGGAAGTGTTGGTCATCTTTCCGTACCGGAGGTCCTTGCTGAAGAACTGGGAATCGTGGCCGATGAAGTGCTGCACCAGCTGCAGCTTTTCGCTGCCCAAGACCTGCAGCTCCAAACGGACCCTGTCCCGGTACTCCCGCAGGGCCTCGCAAGCGCGAGGCGGAAAAAAAAAAAAAAAAAACGGCCGAAACTGGGCTGCTTCAAATGGGTGTCGTGTTTGTGAGGCAACCCGTCGCAGATGTCCTAATTTCTCATTAGTTTAACTCTGCGTCCCAGCATCTGCAAAGCAACAAGCTACAACATGTTGAGGGGAAACCTTTTTGGTTGGGTGATACATGGAGAACCCGATCTCGCAGAACGAACACCGAAGCCATTTCGAGATGTCCAAATCCTAAAGGCGACAAACCCATCTCCTGGCACGTGAGCTCGTGGTGTGCCGGCGTCTGTGCCATGAGGGCGCAGCCCTCCACATCACGCTCCGCTAGCCAGTGGAGCACCTTCTGATGCCAAGGTGTGCTTGTGTTGCTATGCCTCTCTGTTTTGCAGCCCCAAACTGGACACAGTAAAAATAAGAAACATGCAAACAGTGAGGGGTCGCATTGGCCCAAACATTTGGGTGCGGTTTGAGGCTCGGTACCCTGTTTCACCTAGGAAGCCAAGAAGGAGGCCCCCCGATTTTGATACACACCCTAGTTGCTAAGCATTAGCAAACCAGCCCAATGAATGAAGAGCCTGAAAACCTCAAATCAACCAAAAACACAAATGGCTCGGCCAAGTCAACAGGGCTTTCAGGGGGTGCAAAGTGGGAGAACGCGCAAGCGCAGGTGAGGGGACCACACCGTGAGACGGCGGAAGGGGGGGTTATCATTCGGCTCGTGTTTGACCACAAGAGTCGCCAGAATGATGGCAAACATGGGGCAGAAGTGAGGGTTCTTTCTGTCAAAACATTATTTTTCTTGCGGAGGGAGGATTCTGTGCCGGCACTATATCCCGGCCAAAAAACCGGACTGAAGATCCGAGGAAAAGGCGCCTTCTGCAACTTCAAAACCTCCTCCTTCAGGCGGTCGAACTCGTTGCGGTCGAAGACGTCACCTCTGGGCTGCCAGCGCTGGCAGTCCTCGAAGACCTGTCAAAACTTCGATCCGGACATGGGAAGATTGGGGTTTCGGGGCAATTTCGCCTATACATCACCTCACAAGTGGGTCAAAAAGGTATTGTATTGGAAGCCTCAGTTCCGTCTGGAGGGTCATGGACCTGCAAATGGGGGGCGGGCTATCCCTGGACAAGTGGGTAAACGATAGTTATTCACCCACCGCAATGGAGGAACTCCACCCCATGTTTTGCGGAAGAAACCAAAAAAACAACACTGTGGGTAATAGGAAGCCCCCCCATTAAATGTTTAAATAAAAAAAATAAGCTTCACTGTGTAACGAACCTTGCCTGGCGCCACTGCGTCCACAAAGCCCGGCAGTGCGAAAGCTCCTCAGCCCGCTGCACTGTCACTGCCTCCGGGTCCTGCAAACGTGTCCGGGCTTGTTGGGCCAGATGGGATCCACAAATCCACAAACCACCCTAGATTCACTCCATCATTTTGCGGCCCCGTTTACTCTTGATCTTTGGACCCTGCCCAAGAGCAAGGATTGTTGGACGACCAGACCTCCACGAAAATGGGAACCTAGTGGTCTTCAATGCTCCCAGACCTCATGGGAGCTCTCTGATTTGTGTGACCCCAATGAGTTCAATTGGATGCTGCGCACATTGTCCTTTGGATCGCTAGCGCTAGCGATGGTAGCCCGTTTACGTCCGTGACTGATATCTGATGGATCTTTGTCAAATTTAGGAAGGGTTTCCTGTTGTTCCCTTTAATTCAAAGCGAAAAGGATACCCACACACCTTTCGATTCCCCCAAGCGAGCCACGCGCACACCCTGGGAAAGTTTACTGTCGGGATCCTTCCGTCCTCACGCGCCAATTTGTGAGCCCGGCGGGAAACCCATTTGCCCTACAGAACCAGGCTTCAACTCCAAGGGGCTGCCTGCAAAAAATGGCTCACCTGGTGGCAGATCACCTACCTGTTTCCTGTTTGCTCTCTGCGCATCCTTAAACTGCTAAAACCCGGAGCCTAGGCATTTAGAATCCTTGCCGCAGCTTCCAGCTAAGTCTGGCATGTCCTGGTCGAGGATGGCCTTGGCCGCCTCGCAGAAGCCCGCCAGCGGCTCCCACAAGCGCCAGGCCTCGCCGGAGCCGAAGTCCAGGCCAATGGCTTCCAGGCGCTGATGGAACTCCACCAGGCACCGATAGCTCCTGGGCTGCTGAGATACGTGAGATATGCCTCTCCCCGCAAAAACAGACAAGAAAACCAACATAACAGCAAAAGGACACAGATTCCCGATAAAAAGTTTATGTCTTTGTTTGAGGCTCGGCCCTTCAGTTGGGGCATCCCTCGTCCCTTCAGCCCTTTTGTGTGAGGTTGGACCTTCCCAAATGTTTCTCCTCTTGGTTTCTTCAAAGCCTACCCATTTTGTTTGTGAAAGGACGTGAAGAAAACCCACAAGGCCAAAAAGTCCGTTTGAGCAGCGCTCAACGCCCATGACCGTTTGGATCTACCCACATGGGTGAGCTTTAAAGGTCTACATCAGCTTTTACTATAACCCCTCCAAACTCAGGCAACATGGCCCGCAGAAAGGGGTCTTCGTGCGCGTTAAGTCGGGCCGTGGCGCATGAAGGTGTCCGGCAGCGCCGAGATGTCCGCAGAGAACGACAGGTCGAGGCTGCGAAGGATGGGGTTCAAGGCGTGCAGGAGCAGCACCATCATGAACCAGCCTCAATTCAGAAGCACAAAAAATGTTTGTGTTTGTTCTTTTGTTTTACTGTTTTTTTGGAGGGGGGGTGATGTTAAAGGGAACCCTCCGAATTGCTGAGCTTCAGCTTGAAGATTCAAAGGCTTCGCCAGATGAGATGGTCAGGCGTGTGCTTCTCATGCTCCCACCCCCAAGACCTAGCCAGGGTTTTGGGTGGTTGAGTCTGGCGCCATTCGTTCTCATTTTGTCGGGGAGCTTAGAGCCTCTCCAGAATCCGAAATGCTGTTCCGTTTGGTTTCCCTTTGAACCAACCAACAAGGGCCGCAAAAAAAGACATACAAGCTCAAAGGATACAACCTAAAGCTTCCAATCCCAGCGCGGTCTTCCAACAACGCGCGTCTCTCACTGAGTCAACACTTTTAACTGCACCAATCGGTTGGTCTACACGAAGGACTGGATTTTGCAGCAGGCACTCAATCAACATGCCAATCAATAGAGGAAGTGTCAGAGAGCACCCAAACGGAAAAACACCATATCGGGGGGTCTCCTAAAAAGGCGTGTCCCTTCATTTCCGACTTGCGATGGACAAAGGCCCCAACGGATTCACCTGGGATTTCTCCAGACCGTTTTTGGCCTTTCAACGGTCTTCGTCCTTTGGCTTTCCTTCACCAGACCAGGTGACTCCCTTTCAAAGCAAAACAAGGAAACCTTTCGATGTTGGGAACGACACCTGCAGTTCCCGGCACCTTGGCACAGGGGCAGAAACAAACTTTCTGACAAACAAGTCATCTCTCTGCTCCGAGGGTGAGCACACTTGGGTCATGCACCGACCATGAAAAAACCACTGCCTGCCGATGCTCATACCTGGTTCTTTGCCAGACTTCTGATGCGGCTCAGTCCATGAATATTTGCCAGCACACTACTTTGGCCTGCTATTTGATATCTATATGTAGCATCGGATTCAGGGCGACGGATTATTGTCCCGTTCACTTTGCTTGTGTGGGCGGCCGCAAGCAAACACTGCAGCACAAAATGACAATCAGCGATCCCACATTGCCATGGCATGCCGGCAAGATGGCTGCCTGTCTTTGTCAGCACCGGCATCCAGCAAGCACTGCACAACTGCCCGATGACCAAGCTGTGCAGCAACATTCCGTGGTGTGTGTGTGTGTGTGTGTCACTGGTCGCCTAGTCTTTGTTAGCCGTTGATCTAGCAAGCACTGCACAACTGCCTGATGACCCCGCTGTGCAGCAAATATGCAGCGGTGTGACAGTATCATTGCCTGCCTTGTCTTTGTCAGCACCAGCATCCAGCAAGCACTGAACAACTGCCTGATGACCCCGCAGTGCAGCAAATATGCAGCGGTGTGACAGTATCATTGCCTGCCTTGTCTTTGTCAGCACCAGCATCCAGCAAGCATGAACAACTGCCTGATGACCCCGCAGTGCAGCAAATATGGACAGTATCATTGCCTGCTTTGTTCAGCATCCAAGCACTGAACAACTTGTGCAGCAAATACAGCGGTGACAGTATCATTGCCTGCCTTGTCTTTGTCAGCACCAGCATCCAGCAAGCACTGAACAACTGCCTGATCACCCCGCAGTGCAGCAAATATGCAGCGGTGTGACAGTATCATTGCCTGCCTTGTCTTTGTCAGCACCAGCATCCAGCAAGCACTGAACAACTGCCTGATGACCCCGCAGTGCAGCAAATATGCAGCGGTGTGACAGTATCATTGCCTGCCTTGTCTTTGTCAGCACCAGCATCCAGCAAGCACTGAACAACTGCCTGATCACCCCGTGCAGCAAATATGCAGCGGTGTGACAGTATCATTGCCTGCCTTGTCTTTGTCAGCACCAGCATCCAGCAAGCACTGAACAACTGCCTGATGACCCCGCAGTGCAGCAAATATGCAGCGGTGTGACAGTATCATTGCCTGCCTTGTCTTTGTCAGCACCAGCATCCAGCAAGCACTGAACAACTGCCTGATGACCCCGCAGTGCAGCAAATATGCAGCGGTGTGACAGTATCATTGCCTGCCTTGTCTTTGTCAGCACCAGCATCCAGCATCCAGCAAGCACTGAACAACTGCCTGATGACCCCGCAGTGCAGCAAATATGCAGCGGTGTGACAGTATCATTGCCTGCCTTGTCTTTGTCAGCACCAGCATCCAGCAAGCACTGAACAACTGCCTGATGACCCCGCAGTGCAGCAAATATGCAGCGGTGTGACAGTATCATTGCCTGCCTTGTCTTTGTCAGCACCAGCATCCAGCAAGCACTGAACAACTGCCTGATCACCCCGCAGTGCAGCAAAATGCAGTGGTGCGGCGCCCATTTTGGTCACCTTCTCTTTGTTAGCCCCGGGATCCAGCAAGCACTGCACAACCGGCGCAACTGCGTGATGGCACTGGCATGCAGCAAAACGCCATCCATGGTGTGGTTCCCTGTTCGTTTGCCTTCTCTTTGTCAGCACCAGCATTAAGCTTCCAAGCCAACCCCTCCAAACCACCCAAGCAAGGGGCAAAGATTCGCACCTAGGGATTTCAATCTCCTTGGGACCTGATCCATTCCCTCCGGTTCAGTGACCTCGGAACCCTTTGGGTTGCCCATTCGTAGCCACCAAACCAAACAAGCAAAAGCTGAAAGGTACAAATCACAGCTCCCCATTTTTTTGAAGTGAATGAGGGAGTCAGGTGCTGTTGCACAGCGTGTGCAGGTTGTGCAGGGTGATGCTCAAGGAGCTGTTGTGCAGCATGCTGCAAAGGGCGGTTGTTGCTTTTCAATTGCAAACTGCGCAGGTTTGGGCACTGGAAACCCTTGATTCACAGGATGTGTCCGATCAATCGAGTCTTTCACGTTGGCGGAAACTCCCCAGACACGAGGCAGCTTCTGCCGATACGTTTTCCCAAACTCACGAATTCAGCGCTTCTGTTTCTCCCCTTCGTCAAACATTAAACCAGGGGGACTGCAGGTTTTAGTCCTTGGTTCCATTTACCAGGGCATCCCATTTTGGGGTTGCCGTATTTTTGACTCAGGTGGGGGCGTGGGGCGTGGGGCGTGGGGCGTGGGGCGTGGGGCGTGGGGCGTGGGGCGTGGGCGTGGGGCGTGGGGCATGGGGCGTGGGGCATGGGGCGTGGGGCGTGGGGCGGGGTGTGGGGCGTGAGGTGTGGGGCGTGGGGCGTGGGGCGTGGGGCATGGGGCGAGGCCTCGCGGACGCGTGTTCTCAAGTCAAGCGACTCTCCGTTTGGCCTTGGCTCATGATCTGTTCCTCCATCCACTCCAGAAGGCGCTGGGCTAGCTCCGGGTCCGCCTCCTGAAGCCCACCGTCAGATGGAAAATGCGAATCAAGGCAAGGTCGCTTTGGGTGAAGTGAGCCAATCCATTGGAAGCAATGCCTTACCTCATGCAGATATTGCAACTCAGTGCACGTTGAAGAGCGGGAACTGATTTTGAACATCAGGGAAGCTGGGGGCAACACCTCCCTGAAGCACACCACAGCCTAGCTAGGCAGACACCACGGCTCTCGGCTGTTGGCGGGGAGCGAAAAAGACGAAAAACCTGAGTGTCTCGACGAAGCCCCCATCCATGCGCGCACCTGCAGCTGCGGGTGGCATCTCAGGCTGGCCTTCGCCGCGCAGTGCACCAGCCAAGCCCCGGAGGAGTCCACCCAAGCGCGGCTCACCGGGTCCTCTCTCCACGCGCGCGGCTTTTGGGTCGCGCGGCTCCCTTGCACGTCGCTGCTTTTGTTGTGCCCTCTTTCTTTTTTTTCCCAGATAGCTGAAAGCTATAGGGGTTCTAACTGCTAGTAAAGAAGGGAGGTGGTTTGCAAGGTTGGGCGCTAGGCATGCAGTTTGGGGTGCTGGTGCAGGTGCTGTTTGAGGTGCCAGGTGACATTCTTGCAAGATTGATGGGCAGGGTGCTGGGGGGCACGCAGTCTGGTGCTGGTGCAGGTGCTGCTTTGGATGCATTTGCAGCATTGGCGGCCGGGTGCTCGGGGGGTTTGGGGTGCTGTAGGCACGTTTTTGCAAGATTGACGGCAGGGCTAGGGGGCATGCAGCGCGGGGTGCAGGTGTAGTTTTCGCTATCTGGGGTCGATGCTGGTGTATTTCATTAGCCGTATTTTGTTTGGAGGGGGGATGCAAAAACGCTGGGAAACACCGAAAAAAAACAGTTCCGGGTTTTTCCCAAACTAAGGGATACCTTTCTGATTCTTGTGGAGTGGGGGGGGAACAAATCGCCGCAACCTGTATTTTCGGAAGGACCACCTTAAACAAAAAGCTTGAGACCTGTTTGTGCGAGTCCACTCAGGTAAGTGGCTGCTTGCAACTTCCCTCGTTCCCGCTCCCAAATCCCCTTCGGGCTCCCAAATTGTTCGCGCAAGGTCAAAGACCCCGAACATAGCCCCATGCTGATTCTGAGCCTCGTTAACGGGCCCCAATAGTAGTCGCTACGTTGCGATGGTTTTCATGTCGATGGCTCTGAATCAATATATGGCCCCATGATTCACGTTGATTAACCCCCCACAAGGTTTTGATTCTGATAGTTAGATGTCTTCTAAATGGAGGGAGTTCAATTGCTCAGATTTACACAAGAACATGAAACTGTCATTCTTGACGCGCCGGCTTTCTCCGCTTAAATGTTTCTGTGTGTGTGTGCCCTGGTTTGGGTGTCCTACGTTCGCCACTCGAGTGAATGTTCCCTTTGTCGCTTTGTCCAGAATCACTTCTTCATAAAGATAAACGACCCCAATAATCGCAATAAATTCCAGCTGACCGCCAAAGTTGCCAATGCGAATTCTAAATTGCCCGATACCAAACCAATCCTAAACTCTCCAGAAACCACCAGAAACCGCATGAAACCAAGCTCCCCCAAAATCGCTTCTTAGGAGCCACGCTAACTGCAACGATCAATTGGGCTGCCTTGCGTGAGCTGTTCACACCCTCCCGGAAGGGTGGACGTACCACGCGGTGATTCCAATGCGCGGAACACAGTTGCGAAAAAACATTGGGGCGGTCGATTCCCCCCGGGTCCGGTTTTGCATCCTTAGCATCTCCTGGTTAACATCGCCAGCGTCACCTGCATCATCCGCATCAGCGCCTGCCAAGGATGCGGATGATGCAAGTGATGCTGGGAATGTTACCCATGCTGGTGAAGGAAAATCTGGAAATGCATGGAGACGAATGAAGGAAAAAAGTGGACATAAAGGGACATGAAGGGAAGTGAAGGAAAGTGAGGGACATGAAGATCTTAAGGGGGGGAAAGGGGGAAAAAGATTTTAGGGGGGGAAGCGGGGAGAAGATCGGAGGGGGGGGAAAGGGGGGGGGAGGGTATCAAGTGAAGTGAAGGGGGGGGGAAGAAAAATAGTAAAGGACAATTCAAGGAATTGTCCATTTACTATTTTTTCTAACAGCAACACATCAAATAGCAAACAAAAATAAGAACCACCAAGCAACTCAAAAACCAGAACAACCCCCAACAAAATATTTAATCACAGCATACAACATTGAAATAATCCAAACAAGCATACCAACAAAACAACAAAACTAAAAACCATCAAAGAACACAAACTCAAAAACACACATCAACGAAAAACAAAGCAACATACCAATAAAAAATATCAAAAGAGTGTCAAACAAAATAAATACAAACAGCAAAAGCACGAAGAAAACAAAAGAGCGTACCAAGTTCAAACAACGCACTTTGAAAGAGATAAGCAAGATCAAGAAAAATTAAAATCATTCAATCTTTACAAACCATAAGTATAGTATAACTACAAATATAAGATTTTACATGTTATAATTATATCACAATTAAGAATTAAGGATTAATATAATTATCAGGTAATAAATCTTCAAATATGTAATCTACATCTGCTCATTCTCTCCCGCAAAGAGCACAAACCTTGCTTTTGGGGCTGTCCAAAAAGGGACAAAAACCATACACCAAAAGCGGTGTACGCATACACCAAAAGCGGTGTACGCATACACCAAAAGCGGTGTACGCATACACCAAAAGCGGTGTACGCATACACCAAAAGCGGTGTATGTTAAAAAGGGGCTTTTTCCGGCAGTGGGCAGCCTCAAATTATTTAACCAACCAAACTCACCAAAATTTCACTAATTAATTCGCTGGGTATTTTATATAGGTCTTCCTGTTTATGTATTATTGGATTGTCTCCCCATTTTTCCTTGTTTCCACTTGGCAAACGTTGCGCAGCTTCAATATGCTTATTATTCCTGATGTTGCCACAATCCTTTTTACATAAATCTCTAGGTTTCCACGTTGTAATGTGATTCCAGAGTCTAGTGCGGCTTCTGTAATTAAATCCATATTTACAATAATCAACATCTTTAAAGTCAAACTCATCCATAAACTCCTGCTTTTTTAATAATCCAGTTTGGGGATTTTCAACTACAAAATACTTAGGATTGAAATCTCAATAGTTTTTAAGACAATACTATTTGCATATTCGATATTCCTAATTCCTGTAGTTTTTGCTTTGCTGTATTCAGTGCAAGGTGGAGAAGCCCAAATACATGAGAAGTGGTTCCTACCAAATTGCTTATAATCCCATTTCAAAATATCAGTATTTATATCCGCATTTTTCAAATGCAATGAAATATCATTGAAACCCATTGCTTTTGCAACTGTTCCAACACTGCCTGTCCCGCTAAACATCTCTAATAAGTTCATGATTAAAGATATTTAGATAATATTATCTATGAATAAACCCCTGTATCTTCATCATAGTCAATTTGATAAAATGTCATAGTGGAAGACTTCGGTTCTTTAATTTCTTTGTTATTAAGTTTGTTTAAATAAATATTTCTTGCATTTATATATTCACCGCTGGTTCTATCTGTTTCTTTGCTTTGATAATTGTTTGTTAAAGGTTTTTCTTTTCTATTTCTTGTAAGAGTTCTAAAATATTCTTACTCTGTTCTAAAACCTTGTTCAGTTTTTTTAACAATCTTATCTGATCCTTCATCCATGTAAATATATATTATATTATAAAATAAAACTTTTAAAACTAAACTTATAATTTACAAAATCATATATCATTATAAGTCAGTTCAAAATTAGTTATTGTGTAACTCGTTAAATTATTATTCAATTACCAATTAATTACAAATAATAGTTTTTCTAAAAATTGAATATTTATGAAACTTTTCAATATTATCTGTAATATAAATTATTAAACATTTAATACATTCAAACACATTAACAACATACGACATTAATGTTACTATTTGTAAATATTACTCAGCTTTCTCAATGTAATTTCATAGAACTGAATAGGAATTTTAATTCTCATAATTAGCAATAAATCTTAAAGTATATGAATATATTCTTGTACAAAAAAATTTTAAATCTGTTTGTTCAAATAAATCAGAATAATTAATAGAATTATAAAACATGTTAAAATCAAGTTTACTATTTCTAAAGTCATTAACAAAATAATTAATATATCATTTTCGTTATATTCCTCAATAAAAATTATTTAACTTCAATTCTTTTACATCAATGAACTTAAAAAATATTGTTTATAACATCTTGCATTATAAATAATAATAGAAATAATTTTAACTATTATTTTTCATCATTTCACGTATAGTTTCCTGTGTTTCCTTATCACCGTTATCGGATGGTAATGCATGCCTTCCCCATTTGATAGCAATATTATGAACATATGTTTCTAAGTTTATACTGTCTTTAGTTTTATCAATATTCATTTTCTTATCATTTTTACTTATATTGAAACTTGCCGGAATACACGAGCATTTGCAATTTCCTTTCTTTTGTATTTCTAATTCATTCTTCATTTCTAACATTTTTTTACAGCAAACTCAATAACTGATGTTTCTTTAACAATTTCTCCTTTCTCTTCATCAGTTGAAGAAACAACTGGTTCTGTCTTATTCTTTTTCTTTCTTCCCATGTATATTAATATTTACATTTTTGCTTTTGATATATTGAATCATAAACTTAATGAATTCTAATGAATAATAACAGCATTTTTTGGTTTTAGTATCAGTTATAACAACTTGCTCTATATTTTCTACGTTATCTAGTATAGGAATATAATCTGAATAACTTCTATTCATACAAAATAATAAATATGAAAAAATCTAAATAACTTTAATATTATTTTATTATGTCAGATGTCCCAATAATAAAACCAATAAACATAACTGATTACGATTTCAAACATTCTAAATATGAGCACGTGCCAAAACCACCATTCCGCTCCATCGTTGTAGCATCATCAACAGGTGGTAAAACAGTTTTAATCCAAAACCTTATCTTAGATGTTTATAGGGACTGCTTCGCCCGTATATTCATTTTTAGCCCGTCAGTTCATAACGACCCTACCTTTGTTGAAGTCAAGAAATACCAAAAAGATAATATGAAGGTTGATGATGAAAAAGAAAAGTTATATTATGACACCTACCAACCTGAAGAACTGGAAGAAATAATTAACACACAGAGAAAGATGATTCATTATATGAAATAACAGAAGATGAAGAAACTACATTCAATTTTAATCATAGTTGATGATTTTGCAGACGACCCTAAATTTGTTAGATATAGTAAGTTATTACACGGACTGGCAACGAGAGGCAGACACGATGCCATTAGCTTTTGTTTAAGCGTTCAAAACTATCCTGTCCTAGCACCAATCATTAG